GTCCGACGTCTCTCCGGCATTCAGGGTTCCGGTTCGGCCAATCACATGTGGGTCGTTGGTGATGTCACATTGCCGAATCTTCAATACTCCCCTAACCCTGATGGCGGGTAAGAACTTGTTCGGTTGTCCACTTGGCGGTTCATTGGACGGTCCTTTTGACAGTTCCTTGGGTTCCGGCAGTTGCTGGTGGGATGTTCTCTCCTGGGATGCGGCGTCATGCGACGTTGTGTCGGGTTGGGATGTTTTCCGTGTGACCATCGTCCAAGCCGTGAACTTTTGCATGGAGTGTTTTGTTGCGGTCTTGGGCAAGGCGTCAACGACCATCTCGGCGGTCGGGACGAAGGACATGGACAAGGCGCCGCTGCGGACCAGCTCACGAAGGTAATGGTGTCGGATGTCAATGTGTTTGGTGCGCTCATTGATCGCCGTAGACATGGCCGTGGCGATTGCGGACATGTTGTCGCAGCACAGTGTGATGGTGTCTTGGCGGGTGCCAAGGTCGGCCATGAGACCGCGGAGCCAGGTGGATTCGCGTGCGGCTTCAGCTGCGGCGATGTACTCCGCCTCGCAGCTGGACAGAGCCGTGATCCGTTGTCGGATGCTTTTCCAGACCAACATGCCGCCAAGGAACAGCCAACAGAAGCCGGTGGTCGATCGGCGGTCGGGTCGAGTGGCCCAGCTTGCATCGCAGAGCCGGTAAGGATCGGGTCTCCATTGCCAAATTGGATGCCGAATGACTTTGTCCCTGCTAGGTATCGGAAGACGCGTTTGGCGCCGACCGTGTGCGGCGCTCTTGGTGCGTGTAGATGGCAGGACAGTCGCTGGACGGCATGGGCAATGTCGGGGCGCGTGCATACCATCAGGTAAACGAGGGATCCGATGATTGCTCGATACTCCCCTTGATCGACACTTGGTTGATTTTCATCGTGCCATAGGTCTTCTCTTCTTGGTCGGCGACTTCGGGTGTCGCCACGGGGTGGCATTTTGACATGTTGAAGCGGTCGAGGACTTTGTCGGCATATGATTCTTGGGTCATGGTCAGTCGTCGGTTGTCTTGGTCGCGTGAGATGCGTACACCGAGCATGTAGTGCAGTGGGCCTTGGCGCTTCAGGTTCATCTTGCTTGACATCTGGTTCATTATACTGTCCATCTTGTATTGCGTAGGTGCGGCCGCGATGAAATCGTCGACGTACGTTCCCAGGATCTTCATGTCGGTGTCGCGTCCGCGGGTGAAGACGCATGGGTCGTGCGAACTTTGTTTCCAGCCGAGTTCGGCAATCTGCTTCTTGCAGTGGACTTCCCACTCGTGGCCGCTTTTGTTGAGTCCGTATAATGCTATCTTGACGAGAGCGACTTTGCCAGGTGATGTTACGTAACCTTCGGGTTCGACAGCCCAGTTTGGCCGTTCTAACTTGGCTTGAATGTAGGCGTTGACGGCATCAGCTTGTTCAAGGACCATGTCGCGTGCGGTGGCGCTGTCTTCTTGGATTTCTTCTTGATGGTAGCCTTCTAGTGAAGTGTCCAAGGGTCGTTCAGCTACGTTTGCTGCAAAGTTCAGGTATCGCGGGTTGGGTTTGCGGAATCGGGACGATGCGCGCTTTGGGGCCGATGGTGCTTCGGTGGCGTTTCGTCTTGTTGGAGCGGGCGTGGTCGGGTTGTCTTCAAGCCGATTGATCATTGACTCATTATTGTCGCGTAGTGATCGGAACGAGGATCGGAGCGACTCTTCCACTTGGGTCGGTGAACGTGACGATCGTGCGGCTGGGTGCGCGACGGGGTCTTGGTAAGGCTTGAACATGATCTCGTGGATGGGAATGTCGGGCATGGTCGTGTTGTGTAGGTGTTGTGCATACTTGTAGTTGGCGCTCCCTGGCGTGGGTTGTCGTGTTTGGCGCCACGAGTCATCGAAACTTGTGGCTCGGGAGCGTGTGCTGGACCCGCTTGGTCGATCGACGGACCCGTTCGGGTCGGTGCCGCGGCGCGTGGTCGTTGCGTGGTACGGAGCGTACCCTGGCGTTGGAGCAGCTGCCAGGAAGGTGTCGACGGCCGTGTCGACTGCGCGGCGGACTGTGTCGATCGTACTGGACGCGCGGCGCATGGCGGTCTGGATCATCGACGGTTGCGTGGCAGTGTGCGGTGGAACGTGTTGTCCGGATTCCGGCGCGTCGTTCTCGCTGTCGGAGTCGTCGTTCTCATCGATCTGCTCCGGTAGGTCGGGCTCACCGAAAAATTCGTTCTCGAGGAAACGAACGTGGACGCCGTGGATCATCTTTTGGTTCTCGACGTCAAATAGCTTGTAGGCCTTCATATTTTCTGTGTACCCGACCATGATGCATAACGTTGCCTTAGGGCCAGCTTGTTGCGGCGTTCGGGAGCCTTGACCATGTTGAAGCACTTGCAGCCGAAGACGCGCATGTTGGTCAGTGTTGGTACGTGGCCGCTGAATAATTCGATCGGTGTTTTGATACATGCTGTCGTGTGCAGGATGCGATTGCAGATGAAGGTGGCCGTGTTGACGGCTTCAGCCCACCAGCGACGGCCGAGGCGAGCAGCATGGGTTAGCATGGCGAGAGCCATTTCCATCATGGTGCGATGGGTACGTTCTGTGACACCATTTTGCCATTGGTTGTTCGCGGCTGACATCTCGTGCTTGATTCCTTTCTTGGCGAGCCATGTCTCGAACGCATTGGAGACGAACTCGGGGCCAGCATCGGTCCGAAAAATCTTGACTTTGAGACCGGTCTGTCGTTCTGAAAAGGCGACAATGTCTTCGAAGTTGGACATCTGCGTGGCCGAGTCGGTGGAGTGGATGAATCGCACGATCTTGTACCCGGTACAGTCGTCGACGTACACTGTTTAGTACTGACATCTACTTAGGGATTTCGTCCGCAGCTGGCCTTTCGTGTCGGCGTGCCAGCACTCCCCTGGCCCGAACGACCGGGTGTGCATCTTCGGGGCACTCACAACGTGCATCTTGGCCCGAGGGCAGTCCATGCACGGTCGTGGTGAGGTCTGCAGTCCCGGAAGGACCCCGAGTCCTGCCTTGGCGCAGGCGCGCAAGGCGTCGGCGGGCAAGTGTCCGATTCGGTTGTGCCAGACGGTGGTGGCGTCGATGATGGCGACGTTGGCACGATCCGTCGAGCATGTGCCGTCCAAGACGTACAAGCGTTGGTCGGGTGACAGGTAAGCGGTGGCAACTTTAGCTCGGTCGCTGAAGAGCGTACATGTGTCGCTTTTGAACTGGACACTCACGTCTGGGTCTGCCTTCATTAGCGCTGGGACGGATAGCAGAGTCATTGGCATCCCTTCGATCAAGAGTAAGTCGGTCGAGGTAATGTCCTTTCCGCACGATGTCTTGATGTTGAGCTTTCCCGTCGTTTTAGCGACGGTGCTCCGGTCGTTGGTGACGACCACTCGTCGATCACAGGTTGACGTGTCAAAGAGATGGTGTGCGGCGTCGGTCATGTGCGCCGATGCGCCGGAGTCCACAACGATGTGATGTTTGAGGCCATTGGCGTGCAGGGCCATCGCGGAGTTGGCTGCGATGTCGATTGCGGCGTTGCTCCCTTCGACGTCCATGTTGGACGTGATGCGATCGTGGATGACCGCCACGAGAGATCGGTTACGTCTCACGCTGATCTGGTACGCGTCTGCCCAGGGCAATCCGTTGACGCTGATCGGGAACGAGATGTAGGCCATCGGTGACAACCATGGACGGTAATGTGGCCCTTCCTCAGCAATTTCGGTATTAAGATCGACAAGTCGAAACGCTCTCACTTCGTATTGTGTGATTAGGAACGGGTTCGTCATCCATGGTGGCGTGTTTGGGTCGTTGAGAGCGAGGAATTGACCGAGTCGCGCGACTTCCAGGTCGTGGCGGCTGTTGAACAGCACGCTGATGCGTTCCCCGTGGAGCAATACGTCACGGGTGGAGCGTGTCTCCCAACTCCAGGTAGGACCCTCGAACAATGGTTCGGCTTCTTGGGGTTCTTCCATCTTAGGGGCGACTTCCATCGCCGAGAACATGTAGACAGCGTTGGACGTCGAGTCGTGCTGTCGGTCTTGGTTGCCTCGGGCGTTCCGATCACGACCGTTTCCGGTGGTGGCGCTCTCATCGCGGGCTTTCTTGCGGCAGTCCTGTTGCCAGTGGCCTCCTTTGCCACAGTAGTGGCACTTGCCTGGTTTCGTGGGCGCTGACTCCGTGTTGCGACCTCTGCCACGTCCACAACAACCGTTGCGACCTCCACGTCCGCGTCCGTTGCCACGACCGCCGCCGTCGGCAGTCAGTGCTCGGTCTTCGTTCGGGTAGCCGTTGGGTGCCTTCAAGGCTCCACCCTTCACGTCGGCTTTCCATTCGGCCTTCAGTTCCGTCATCACTGTCGACATTCTCGCTTCAGTGGCTCCGTTGAGTAGACGGTCGACCAAGTGGCGAAATTCCCAAGGCATCAAGGTAAGCAGCTTGACGACTTGGTCAGGTGGTCTCGTTGATCCCGACTTCGTTTAGGCGAGTCTTGAGTTGGTCGAAGCGGTGGATGAAGTCCGGTAGCGACTCTTGGCGCGGGTTCCAGGTAAGCTTCGCCCATTCTTTGCTCACTTCGATCCGATCGATCTTGGTGGTTGGCTCATGGTGCGTCTTGAGCGCGTCGTAGGCCAGCGTCACTTCGTAATTGTCTTGCACATGGCGGTATTGGCTTGGGTCGAGTGTCTCAATCAAGATCCCCATGGCTTTTTGTTTTTGGTCCGTCGTGGTCGTAGTCGGGTCGGTGATGGTCCCCAAGAGCCCCTTGCTCATCATGCGTCCTTGGAAATACGTCTTCCAGCTCAGGTAGTTTTGCTCCGTCAATTTGACGGCAGGTACGATTGATGTCATACTTCCTCCTTGTTGCTGTTGTTTGGGCTCATAACCTGTCGAATAAATGCAGTATCCGATAGGGCAGTCGAGGAACAGCGGCGAGCGTTTGCAGGCGACTTAGATCCAAGGAGGCAAATTGAATAGTGATTAGGACATTTTGCTGCTAAGATGATCTTTTTACTTTGTGTCTTCCTACGTCTCTTGAGTTCATGCATACGTGGATCCTGTTGACATATCCCTTGACTTGTCCGACGTCTCTGGCAATCAGGGTTCCGGTTCGGCCAATCACATGTGGGTCGTTGGTGATGTCACATTAACGAATCTTCAATAGACCTCAGGCCATTTCTATTTGGCTCCGTGCAGGTTGGAGTTTGGAGAACGTGCAGAGCCGGTATATTTTTCAGGGGGCGGGCGGAGTCCAATTTGATGGACGTGCATCATCCGGTGCTTTTTTGCAGTGGAGTTAGAGATTAACAGTATAACTGGTTGTGTAGGATTGAATGTTAACGACGCCTCTTTTGCAACCCTTCCACCTCACCTTCATGGGGCTGGTCGGTCCAATGGGATTCCATATTGCCGGGTTCACCACATACTACCCTGCAACTTTTCGATACGCAGTGCCATTCTTGTTGGCATCATTGGCCTGTCACTTTGATTGGATCAAGTCA